CCTGGTGGTGGCCCAACCAAGGTGCGTGGTTTCTTTTCGGTGGTGGGACTCGGGCTCGGCTACAAGGTACGTGGTTTCTTCCTGGTCGTAGCGGTTTCCGCTTCAAGGTGCGTCGTTTCTTTTCGGTGGTGGCCCAAAGGTAGGTGATTTCTTCCCGGTGGTGGCGGTTTCGGAAGCAAGGTGCGTGGGTTTCTCCCTACCGGCCTCTGGCCGCTCCAAGGTGCGTGGTTTCTTTTCCCGAGGGAGGGACTCCGGTCCTGGCGCATACCTTTCCGTGGTCCTCGGGATAAGTACCTTCCTGCTCGCCGCCTCTGGCCGTTCGGCCTGAGGCGGGGAGCAGGTTGGGAAACCAAAATGCGCGGTTTTGTCTTCTCGTCAATTGTACATTCTGACGCTTGTTCTGGACGAGCTACACCGAGCTCTCTGAACTGGGCGCTGGCAACATGGTCGTGTTCCAGTCCACTGTGTATCGATGTAGGTCGCGTCTGTCGTGCAAATTCGTCCGCTCCTCTATCTGATCAAGTATGTTAGACTTATGTTCCAAGGGGCAGGTCAGAAGGAGTAAGTAACGCTATGCCGCATATGTCCCTCGATGACTTCGTGAAGTTGATCGTATATTCAATTTGTTGCCGCTATAGATGTCGTACCGATACAACGAATGTTTTTTTTTCCAAGAATACACTAGAGCAACTCGCCCCTCATGTCAATAGTTCCATTACGACACCTAGCCGACCTATGATGAGTCTCAATTGATGTGCGCGAAGAGGGTGATACGCACCGGCTCCGATTGTCTCACCGCCACGCCTAACTAGAATCCTCCCCATCTCCTTGTTCACCGAGAATGGTTCGATGGGTATTGGGAGAGCTCTCGATGCGGGGCCGGAATATAACGATCCACGTAAACTGATCTCCACCTCGGCGGACATGTTCTTCGTCAGTACTCTCGGTTTGCTCTTGATCACGTTACCATTAGAACGATCGAGGACGGAGATCAAGCGGGATATCGACGCTGGCACGTCAAGAGAGTGGTGGAAGAGCTCGATCTGCGCTTGCCACTCAGCCTGGCGCGCAACAAACTGCGAAGGCCTCAACTCACCGATGTCCCCGCAGTAATCGGAATTTGAATATCGAAGACAATAATTCTAGCAATGAATGAGAAGGTTAGGGGTATGATACTGCCTGGACGACAGAGGACACTGCCGATATTCAGCGATACAGGGTCTACACTCGTGAGGATGAGGTTAACGTTCGACCCAGCACCTGCCCATGGGAGGCTCTCGCCGTCATTGTCAATCACTGAGAGTCATAGGCCATTAGGTCTGGATCGTAGATAATACCATACACCATGCTCACGCTTGACAGTCGCTGATTCGTCTCCTGGAACGATTCGCAAACGTTCGCCGGCCACGACGATCCCTCCACACACCCGCCCAGACACAGTGATGCCGGACGTCGTACCCTTGAAGATGTTCGAGATAGGAAACCGCAAGGGCGCGTTGATGTCGCGAGTAGGAGGATCTAGGGCGTCTGTCAGAGGCATTCAGTCAGATATAGCCGGAGTGTCAGCTAAGCCACCCTTACCAAGCAGGTCTACCAGCGTAGGACCCTCGTACCACTTGAATAGAGGACAGTCTGCCGGTTCCCGGCGGGTGAGGTTGACGCCCTCCATAGCTACGACAGGCACGAACTTGGTCTTGCTCGGATGGAAGCCCGACTGCACCAAGAATGGCTTTAGGAGCTGTACGATCTCGTTGTACCGCGACTTCGCCCACTCGACCTGATCTAGCTTGTTGACAGCGACGATGACCTGGCTGACGCCCAGACTCCGGACGAGTAGCAAGTGCTCGCGCGTCTGGCCCCCACGGTCGAACCCGGCCTCGAACTCTCCGACGGCGGCGTCGACAACGAGGAGCGCGGAATCGGCTTGGGAAGCCCCCGAGATCATGTTCGGGATGAAGTCGCGATGGCCGGGAGCGTCAAGGATCGTGATGATTCTGTGCGGTGTGTTTAGGGTCTGCAGAGCGATGTCCATCGTAATACCACTGTGTGAGCGATTCGTATCTGAGCATGGTGTCAAATTAGCGCAACGTAAATGAGCACCCACCGCTCCCGCTCCTCCTGAGTCCCATCGAGCTCCCATGCCCAGCTGAAGCTGCTCTTCCCCATCTTCGCGCTCCCTCGCTCATTCGCGACCCGCTTCTTCTCGTCTATCTGCCCGAGCTCGTACAGCAAGCGACCCATCATGGTCGACTTGCCCGCGTCTACGTGCCCTACATCCTCCGTCAGTCTGATACACAACGCCAAGAGAAATAGCGCTCACCAACAACTACGAGGCTGAGCGACCGCTTCTCGCTCTTCTCCTGTGCCGTCAGAGCAGCCTTTGCCTCCTCGATCAACTTCTCCACCACTGCCGGAGGCTTCGCGGGCTCGTCAAGGATCACTTCTAACGGATCGTCGTCGTCCAGGTTCAATCCCGCGATATCAAGTTGCCTTTGGTCGACCGTCATCGTCTTCCTGAGAGAGCTCGTAATGGCTGCAGCGGGCGTGCCCGCCGTCTTGTACGCTCCTGGCGCAGATTTCGACTTCTTCGCCAAAGGCGTTCCTGGGACGACTTTCTTACTTTGCGTTTGCGCTTGCTGTGCCTTTGCCGCTGCCGCTTTCTCGGCCTTCTCGCGGTCTTTCGCAGCTACAAGGTTTCATTCAAGTTGGTACAATCGTTAGAACATGAGAGCACAATTGCGACAGAAAAGCGAAATAAAAAGCAATAACAATGTCCCCAGGAAATGAAGAAGATGGAGTGGAGCAGACGGTGATCCTAGTGTTGGCGTGACGGATGCGAAGACTGTTGCCCTTCGCTCAGCGCGCCGACGCCGTCATCGCAGAAGAAACCGTAGAGGTCGTCCGCTGCCCTAGCGAGGTGCCTTTCCGCGCGTTGTACACAATATCATCTGGACTCGGCACGTCGAACGCGAACCCGCGCAGTGAAGGCATTGTAGGCGGCAAGACCGTATCGATGCGCCCTCCACGGGAGCGCCTCCGCTTGGCATCTTCCTCGCTGGTGCGGCTCCGCTCGTTCGAGCGCCTCCTGTCCCGCTCCCGCTCAGCCTGATGGTGCTCGCACAAATGCGCGTTCTCAGACCCGTTCACCGAAGTGCCGTCGGACGCGTCGCTCACTAGCAAGGTCGCAAATGCCGAAGGCGGCGCGCGTGAGCGGATGGCACTTGGCGAAAACATCGGCACCTCGAAGACGGGGGCATCCTCTGGCTCCGGCTCAGGTTCCGTACTCGCCTTGGTGCGGGAGGACTTGCTCTTCATAGCGAGCTTCGACTGCTTCGGCTCCGACGACTTCGCCGACGCCGAGCCGGCAGAGGGCACCCTAGGCGAGCCCGCCTTGGGAAGGGGGGCAACCGTAGGCTGCGATGGTGGGACCTTGAGCTGGTTCCTCGAAAGTAGGCCGCTGAGAGACTGGTAGGATGTCGTAATCGCTGTCGTCGCGGTAGGCCCGTTGGCGGTTGGGGTGAGGTACTCCGTGGTCGTCCGCGGCAAAATCAGACCCGGGTGAGAGGTCGACTGTGGCTTTGACTTGCTCTGCTCCTTTGCCTTCGCTTGAGCGAGCTTCGCCAACTTCGACAACTGGCGGGGCTGTGGGGAGGTAGAGGGTGCTTGGGTGCGAGGAGGGCTAGAGGGAGGTGATCGAGGAGCGACAGGCGGAGACTGGGGGACAGAAGGAGGTGACGAAGCAACCGACGGAGTCGCATAGCTTCCAGCGGATGCCCTTCTCGGGATTGGAAGCGGGACCGGGGAGGCCCTCGGTGTGAGATGATCTTCGACCTCCGTGGGCGTCCTCGAGGAAGTGTATTGAGGAGATTTAGGCGGTGGGGTGGGTGGCACCGTGGACTGTCTGGGCGAGGGTTCCTGTAGCGCTTGGCGCTCCATAGCCTCAAGAGCAAGAGCGCTTTGTATCGCCTGCTCCACCTTCCTGGTCATAGATGAAAGGTCTGTCAAATCCGAACCGGCGTCGGATGATGGAGGCCGTGGGGGCAAGAGGGAGACGAATGAAGTAGCCGCGGGATGCAGCGCGGTATATGTGGCATTCGTCGAGGTAGCTTCTGTCTCCGGGACTGAGGTATGCGAGCTAACACTGCTCACATTTGACCTTGCGTTGGACCGCGCGCTGGACCTAGAGCTGGCCAGCGCCGACAGTTTTGATTTCTTCTCACCCTTTCCACTCTGAATGCTCTGCGTACTCTGTGCCGTCTTCACGCTCCTCACACTCGCCTCGCTGCGTGTGTCGTCGCTGGGCTTCACAGACCTCGTCAGTAAGGAGGCCGAAGAGACCGCGCCTTGCGGCGGACGCGCGGTTGACTTCGATATCCAGTCGGGGATGTCTGGTATGCTCTCCGTGTTGTAGTCTAACATAGTCGGCGGCCTAGAACTCTCAGCCGACGAGGAGGCGGCTGAGTAGTCGATCATCGGAGGGCCAGGTGGAGATCCTATTTCCATCGACAAACGATGTTCCGCCGAGGAGGAGGGGGAAAGAGGAATGACATTTGGGTCCAAAGATTGGGGACGTTCGGGCGAGGGACTCGAGTCCGGTATCATATGGAGCGTCGGACGCTCTGAAAGATGACACAATTTGAGATGCATACGACTGCACTCAACCTGGAGCACTTACCAAGCACCTGCCCGTAGTCGGAGGTGGTGGACGTTTTAAAGGTAGTGTTGGAATCCCTAGGCTGGGGAGGGAAGTCTCCATGTCTGCTATTCTCCGAGCGCTCTGTCAACTCGGTGATAGTATACAACGTCCAGACGCTCCCGGGGCGGGTAGATGTTCTCGTTGTCTCCGCGTCGGGCGACGAGACGTAGTCGCTTGAGGAAGTGAGGCGGACAAAGGGAACGTTGTGCCTTCCGCTGGCATCGTCGGTCGGCGGAGACCAGTCAGCATAGTCTCCAGGTGGGGGCATGGGTAGTGGCTTCCCGTCTTCCGAGTCAAAGACGTCTGGAGGGAAGTGCCCACGCCTCGTCAGCGGGTTGTTTCGATAGGCCCTGTAGGGAGAACATGACGTGCACCTTCTCGCTGCTGCCGTGTGGACTCCAGTAGCAAGGGCACCGATCCACCACACCACGCCAAAGAGATGGAGTGGGGGAGGGAAGGGGGAGAAGGGAGAAGAAGGTGCGAAGGTTTAAGTTCGAGAAAGCTTACCTTTGCGTGCCTGAGCAGCCAATCTGCGCTGTTGTTCATCTGTGCGAAGTTCTTAGACTCCTCTGCTGCAAGACGGAAAGTGAATGCGACATACCTAGGAGCCAAGCGGTCGTCTGCTCGATATCGAAAAAGTAATGGTATAGAGCGTCCGTGATCTCCGCGTCCGAAATCTTGGAGGACTCTTCGTCTCCGATTATGCTGCGGACATGCTCTAGCCCGTTCATCATTCGTTCTATTGTGCTTGTGAGCGTTAGGACGATACGAATGAGAGCTGGGGCCCACCATGGTCTTCCGAACTAAGATCGTCGTAGCCGCCGTCGGAGATATGGCCCTCCTCCAACTCCTCTGCGATGACAGACGGTCAGAACAGCGCCTTCTACGAGAGGCATGAAGCTTACCATTGAGATTCATGTTGCGTATGATTCTGTGACGGGACATGGCGGATATAGTACAGAATGCAGGTAAAGATACAGAGTGGAGCGGCAGTTGCACCGAAGAGATGAGGTCCACCCGGCGTCTCAGGCGGCTTGGTTCGATCTACGCGGCGTGACGTGACAACGGTGCATGTAACAGGGTGTCCTCTGATGCCGCCGCGCCTATCAAGTTGCAGTCGCCCCTCAATATCCTGTTCAGCAAACCTTCCCTCCTCGGTCTATGATGTTCTCGTTGTCGTTGTCTGCTCGCGCTGCCCTGCGCGCGTCGTCGCGCGTAGGTGTGCCCTTCCCGATTGGCGCGAAACTCTCACTGACATAGCACCTTCACAGTCCTTCTCCACGTCTTCCGCACGTGCCGCTGATATGGCGAAACTTTGTCTAATTGGCCGTCTCGGAAAGGAGCCAGAGCTGCGGTATACCAAGTCCAACAAGGAATACGTCTCGCAAGTGCCATTCCCTTTGACGTAGATAAGAGTTTCCCTAATATAACCTTCAGATACGTGGTTGCGACGCAGAACCCCCCCATAGCTGACGCGGAGCCGACAACGACGTGGCACTACGTCCTTTCCTTCCTCCCCAACGCCAACAACTATCTCCGCTCGCTCAAAAAGGGCTCTCTTGTCTACGTAGAGGCCAACTACGAGCTCCGACAGCCTGACCCCAACGCCGACCCTAACACCCCCGAGGGTCAGCGCCAAATCTTCCTGAGACATGGTGCGCGTCATGATCGACCTGCTGAATTTGCTGAATCCTCACCGCGAGGCCAGAAAACATCCGTGTTCTCCGCCAACCCCACGGGAGCAGGGAGGATGCTGACGCGGAGTAATTTTGCCTGTGCAGACCGTGACGTCGTTCTCTACACCCTACCGCCTGCCCCCTACTCACGATAGCTTTCAACTTGTGTATTCATACGTTAGCCATTTCTTGCGACAACTTAATCACCCATCATACGAAGGCTTGAGTCTACTTCGGTCTGCGGATAGAGCGCATGGATGGTCGCACATCTGGGTGTCATGAAGGGATTCCCTAACTCGTAGTAAGCCTGCTTGATGACTGCAAACTTGATCACACGAATGTGCTGCCAGCGCGCACCTCTCTACCCTCGTCTTCTCATCACTTACGTTGACTTGAATCGTGCAATTGAAGGGATACCAGGCTCAGAGCCTACAGTATTACCGGCCATAGCAAACTGTGATTGAATCTGATTGGCAATATGCCATTCTTTGATCACGCCGGACCTCTAGTACGCGTTGCTGTCCCATGGCTAGACATCATCACCTTCAAGCAGTCAGGACGACGACCTCGCGGGTATGAGGAGCGGCTTCTATCAATGTCTCATTACAACTTGCGCACGTTCATAGGAGCCTCCTTCGCTACGTCACATTTGTGCGACCAACGCAGCCTACAACGCCGGGATGGTGTACAAAGCTGTTAACGCTAGAAAACCGACCGTCTCGCCCCCGAGGAAAAGAATCATTGACGCACAGCGGACTTAACAGTTGAAGTGAAACACGACCGTGTTGCCAGCGCCCAGTTCAGAGAGCTCGGTGTCGCTCGTCCAGAACAATAGAATGTACAATTGACGAGAAGACAAAACCGCGCATTTTGGTTTCCCAACCTGCTCCCCGCCTCAGGCCGAACGGCCAGAGGCGGCGAGCAGGAAGGTACTTATCCCGAGGACCACGGAAAGGTATGCGCCAGGACCGGAGTCCCTCCCTCGGGAAAAGAAACCACGCACCTTGGAGCGGCCAGAGGCCGGTAGGGAGAAACCCACGCACCTTGCTTCCGAAACCGCCACCACCGGGAAGAAATCACCTACCTTTGGGCCACCACCGAAAAAGAAACGACGCACCTTGAAGCGGAAACCGCTACGACCAGGAAGAAACCACGTACCTTGTAGCCGAGCCCGAGTCCCACCACCGAAAAGAAACCACGCACCTTGGTTGGGCCACCACCAGGAAGAAACCACGTACCTGGAGGTCCGAAACTGAGAGCATTCTGTGCTCGCCTCGGGGTTATATGCTCGCCAGCGTTGCTAACCTGCCCAGGTCAGCCCGTGGTCAGCCTCCTCATGACGCCTTGCGGTACACCGGCAGGTCAGCACGCCGGAAGGCTTATGACGTCCTTGGGTCTTTCTTGGCCAACGATCGACTGGCTGAGTATGAACTGATGAGACGTCATCGGGCGTAGGTAGAACAAAGTGTTGAGGATGATTGGCTACGAGAGAGGCTGACAGGGGCTTGGGGTTGCAGCATTCGTGTTCTATGCCAACGTGCTGCTCGAGGCTGAGCGCTGACCACTCGATACTGGTGGCATGGCGCGTGCCGTTTCTGCACCAAGAACGCGGCCGTCAAGAGGAAGTTGGGGGTGGAAAGGCGCGTTATGTTAGACAAGCTCTGTTGGTCCAGGTAACGTGACCGCGTTTGTGCTATGGCCGTGAATTGTGGATGTTCACATTTGAACGACGTGTGTTGCACGAGAGAAATCTACATGTGAAGCCCGTTTGCATTGCGGCGACATGCATGACATTCGAACATTCGAGATAGTAGCTAGGGTGTGAGGACGACATCTTGCGCATCTGAGGTTCCCCCCACATGACGCCCTTGAAAGCGAACGTGTACGAAGAACATTCGTCCCAAGAACCAAAGTCGCGGTCGCGGTCCAGTGCAGCGTGGGCTTAATCTAGTACGATCTGCTCATATGCGTGCTTGTGCTCCTGTCCACACTCGTGATCGTGGTCATGGGGTGAGGCGGTCCATCGAGGCGGGGAGGTTGAGGGTCGGACCTAAGGTGGAAGAGGGAAGACATCGAGGATGAGCTCAGCTAGCCTTGATGTTTTATAACGGCGCAGTACTCACGAGGAATCGAGCATTGTGGAGAAAACAAGACTGTCTAGAGAGAAAAAAGCGCATCCTGACTCCTCTCAATAGTCTGTGATCTGTGGCCAACCGAACGACGGCCGAGTCGAGCTTGGTCGACCGCCTTCCTCACCACCATCGCGAGAGCCTAACATCACAGCTGCATGACATTGCTCGCCTCGACGACTGACACTGTTGGCTATATGACATCCAGGCGCGCGTGTGCTCGCGCATATGTAGCGTAGGCTTCCTGCTTCAATCTACGACTAGACGTTGACCAACACGTCGAGGACGCACCGAGGGCATCACTCATCATATGGATCAGTTCACACTATGTGAGAAGAGCATGAATCCGCACGTTTCCCTTGAACAACATGGTGCATGAAGGAGGCCCAAGCCGCGTCAGCCACCATCCCGAAGATTCAATGACCTCCCTCAATCCCTGTACTCCAGCTCTCCGCTATGGTCATGATACTCGTCGTGTTCGTCGTGCAGATGCTGGATCCCTCTCGATGCCGGGTCGCGTACCCACTCCTGCATAAATAAATAAATAAAAAGAAAACGTGTGCAAAAGGAAGCGCCATCGTCCCCCCCCCAAGAATAACCGAAAGTCAGCCGCCCCACTGCACGAGTTGAGAACTGGACTTCTTCCTGCGTACCGTGCTTGGAGGGCGGCCCGTATGCGAGTGGGCGTGGGTGTGGCCCGTGTGCTGGTGCGCCATGCTGGTGGACATGATGGTCGGGATGCTCTGCCCGAGCGCGCTCGTGCCCATCGACGTACCCATGGAGGTACCCATCGACGTCGCCATCGTCGAAGGTGCCGGTGGGGGTGGGTTGTCCCGGACGAGTTTCTTGAGATAGTCGCGGACGGAGGTCACAACCAGCTGCACAGGCGGGGCAACGGGACAGTATGTCAGCTTCGACAGCACGTCTGGCGATTAATTGACACGCACATGGTGATCGTCTTGACTAGACCCGGAATAGCAGGCTACGACAGCGATGGGACAGCATGGTGCATTCTTGAGCACGCAACACGGCTTCAGCCACAGACGCGAGGCTTAGGTCTCGCGATCGTCCTCACCTCCAGCCATATTGGAAATGCTAGGAATGCAAGCATGAGATCGGTCGAACCTGTACTAGGACGCGTGCACTAACCTCCCCCGCATATTTTGAGGTCGGGCTGTACGCCCAACTGTTTTTGTGATTTACCCATAGCGTTCATACCCTTCTCCACATAGTAGCTAGAATGCCCTGTTCTCCGTACGACCGAGATCATTCCCTTGAAGGCCCAGTCATGCGTCCTTAGCCCCATATATGCTCGATAAACTAGGTCCACGTACCTCCAAACACGCCCAGCTATCTAGGCTGACGTCACCGGCGCCGTCCAGGCCGCCCAAGTTGCCAACTGTACACGAGAAGAGAGTGTGGCCGGCGATGGTCTGTATTGAGATGACCATGCCGCGGACCTTTACGTGTCTTGAAGACGAACGGAAGCGTTTACGCAGAGAGAGACCTAGCATGACGGCCGCATCGGAGTCGAAAGACGGGAAGCGGTAGAGAGACTCCTCATTGAGGGCTTGGGTTGCGAGCTCGGCCTCGCTGGGTGGCATGGGCTGGTTGCCGTTGAAGCCGTTGAACATTTGGAGAGCCCCGAGGCCTGCGTAAGCCATGAGAGACGAAAGAGAATATCCGGGTGCGGTGAACTGGGCGGTTATTAGAGAAGCAGAAGCGAATATCGCTTTATGGCGCGGAACTGTGTGGAAACGACTTCGGTGCCACCCTTGATAGCAGAGAACAGGACAGGAATGGGGCAGGAGAAGGGAGAGTAGCACGGCAGACAGGACACACGTATGTGGACGAGCACGGCACAAGGGCAGGGAAAGTGCTCGAGACGCGTTGGAGAAGGCACGGCACGAGGAGACGTGACGGTGTCCTGCGTTTAGCGAGTGCTGGACATGAGGCAGCTCTCACAGTGATTGTTGTGCGCAGCCCTATCCGCTCGAGCGGCGATCCTTTCTCATATCCATCTGCTCTATCGCACCCCGTGGGCTTTGGTTCTAAGGGGACGCCTGGGAGGCTGCTTGGGCACTGTACGGCTGAGAAGTGCTCGAAGGACGCGGTTAGGTTCGCGAAGGTTAGTAGACGCTGGACATGCCTGCCTTCCATATTGAGAAAAGACAGAGCACGTGGACGACGTTTGAGCTGCAGTCGCCCAGACGCCCGGCTCCAAACCGAGCTTGTTTCGCTTGCTCTGTTGCTTCGCTTTCGCCTCTCCTCCCTCCGGGGTCTCCCCTTTCGTCCGTGTCGGTGAACTAGTAGGTTTGTATTGCTCAGCTTCCACCTTAGAAACTACTGAGCGCTGTCTGCTCTGCAGGTGTACGCGGTCTTACAGCTTGCCGTCATCATGGATGCGCTGTTTGAGCCAATTGCGGAGGCCACTGGCGGTTCCATAGACCAGATCAAGGTGCGCACATCTACACCTTCTTCCTCCCGCCGCTGTTAACCTTCACTTGCGTTCAGCTCATTGCATGTCTTCTGTTCTCATATCCTCTCGGCAGCGTCTACATCCGTATACCCTCATCACATCCTGAGCTCAAACACATCTTCAGCATTCTCGTTACCTTCTTCTACCTCATCCCAGTACTTGGTCTATGGGGAGGCGCGATACAACTTTTGGTCAGCGTTCTTGCGACATATTACATGGCGCAGAGGATAGAGAGGCCGTCAATGCCTTGGCTTGTCTTTATGTGAGCGTTCTCAAATTGCTCCTCTGGTCTTGACTGTTCTTAGTCGAATGTTGTTCAGTTTTACAATGGGACACTTGACGATAAAGTGTGTGACCATGTGTCTCACCTGAGTTCTATCCTGACCTTAGTGTTAGCCACATCATACGAACGTACATCGAGGCAGGCTACGATACCATGGAGATCTCTGGACCTCAGATGGTCTTGACCATGAAGTTGACTACTTTTGCATGGAATATTTGGGATGGCAGGAGACCGTCCGAAGTGCGCTCTCGTTTGCGTCGTGCCCGTCTATTGTACTGATCTATGACGCAGGACTTGGACAAGTGGCAAACTGAGCAACGCGTCGTAGAGTACCCTTCGCTGCTAGAGTTCCTCGGATACGCGTGGGTCAAGAACATTTTTCGAAGGCTGGGCACAGCATTGACCATCTATGCAGATTCTACTTTCCTGGATTCCTCGTCGGTCCATACCTTACCTACAACGAATACCAGGCGCTCGTCACCGGCTCTCTGTACAAGGCTGCGGAGCAGCGCGAGTGGTCAGCTGTGAACGAGACCAGCCATCTCACCAAGCGTCTTGTTCCCCACGGGCGAAAGCGGGTCGCTTTCAAGAAGATGTTCATTGGGCTCATCTTCTTGGCACTTTACGTCCTGTTCTACCCCGAGTTGAACTACGGCATCACTATCGAGGACGAGTTTGAGTCGAGGCGTTTGCTCTCTCGGTAGGTTGCACTACTGCATCTCGTGTATAAGGGCTGATTGGGACTGGCGTATCTAGGATTATTTTGCTCCAGTTCTGTGGTTTCTTTGAGAGGACCAAGTACTACGCCGTCTGGACGCTGACGGAGGTTAGTATCTCACCTCACTTCACACTGGTCATGACAATAATCAACCGTGGCATCTCTATAGGGCGCTTCGATACAGACGGGCTTGGGTTTCACGGGCTACACAGAGTCTGGAAGCACAAAATGGGAGGGCGCGGCGAACGTGAACGTCATGAACATCGAGTTTGCAGAGAACACCAAAGTCCTCCTCGACTCTTGGAACATGAAGACTAACATCTGGCTCCGCGAATGCGTCTACAAGCGTGTCACTCCCAAGGGCAAGAAGCCCGGATTCCGTAGCAGTCTGGCCACGTTCGCGACGAGCGCGTTCTGGGTACGTCCCTCCGCTTCAACTGCCCCGTTGGCAGAGATGCATGCTGATGCGACGACCTCCGCTCGCCCTGCAGCACGGCATCGCCCCAGGCTACTACCTCTCCTTCTTCTTCTACGCCTTCGTCCAGACCACCGGCCGCCTCGCGCGGAGCTACCTCCGCCCACTCGTCCTCCCCGCCAACTACGTCGCCCAGCGCGGGGCGCCGCCGCCCCCCCAGACGCGCAAGAAGCAGCTGTACGACGTGCTCGGGGTGATCACGACCGTGATGCTCACCAACTACGGCACGCTGCCGTTCATGCTGCTCAACATCGACGACTCGTTCGTCGCGTGGAACAACGTCGTCTGGTACGGGCACTTCGTCGTCGCCGGCGCGCTCGTCTTCTTCTACATGGGCGGGAGCACGCTCCTCACGCAGGTGCAGGCGGTCCGGGTGAAGCAGGCGGGGTACCAGATGGAGCGGGACGAGATCAACAGGAGCGTGAGGAGCCTGCCGGGCACCCCTGTGAAGGCGCTGACGTTGCCGCCGGTGGACGAGGCGGCGCGGGCGTTGGAGAAGGAGCTGGCGAAGGAGCTGGCGGGCGGCCAAGGGAAGTGATGGGTCCGCGAGGGGGTTGCTTCATCTTATTGTACAGAGAGAGTACTGTAAACGCTTCCGTTTGGTTACGACGATTGCAATGCTATCACGACACACTCCGCGCTGCTGGCGAGAGCTCGTTCTATACTGAGGGCTTTGCGTCTGGTTGCGCATCTCATCTAGTTGTAGCTTATTCCCGCCCGCCTGACAACGATGGCTTGCTTAGCCAGCCCTCCTACGCTCGATGTGCCCGAAATGAAGGCAAACTTCGTCCATGCACCTCCATAACCGAACTCCAATTGATGTCGCAGTCTCTCACCTAAGTACTGCACTGACGAGGGGTGACTGCCGGCGTAGTCACGTGCCATGGCTTGTAGCACGGCGTCTCGCTTTCCATACAAGTCAGCACTTCCACCCGCTCAGGACAGCCGGCAGCCCTTACACTCCCTCACGTAGCTATGTCACGAACAGCGGTCGCAGACACAATTCCTCCTACTGCACGTGGTATTGCGCTGCTCCTCGCATCCACACCGACAGTCCAGGACGCACAGCCCGGAGTTCTACATCAGCTACTGGAGTTCTCCAACCGGTACACCGCGCAAGTGCTCTCTGACGCGCTCGTGTACGCCGAACACGCGGGGCGATCAGGGAAGGTCGAGATGGAGGACGTTGTGCTTGCCGTCCAGGCTCGCGTAGGCTGGGAGTTTGGTGGCCGCGTTCCAAAGGAGGTGCGTCTGCGTCCGCGTTCTCATATACCTCGTCCCTCCATCCTTCTTTGCCACTCTCGCGATGAATACGCCGTCAGTCTTTCGATCCGCCTTCACGAATGCTGACTCGTTGCGCGTGCCCAGTATATGCTCTCCCTCGCGACGCAAACCAACGCCGTCCCGCTCCCCTCCGTGCCCGAGGTGTACGGCGTCCGCCTGCCGCCCGCGCACGAATGCCTCACCGCCGTCGACTTCGACCTCGTGCCCAACAAACCTCCCCCAGGGGTGAAGCTCTACGACGAAGACGTCGAGGAAGTCGAGGAAAGCGAGTCCGACGAGGACGAGGACATGGAGCCCGCCCCGCTCCCACACCCCACTTCCCACTCGTCCCAACCACAGACGCAGCAGCAGCAGCATGCACACTTACCGCCGGTGGTCGGCGCGGCGCACACGCCGTCGGACGTGGACATGCTCACGCCGGGAGGCGCGCCACCCGACGAGGGCAGCGAGGTGGAGGAGGATGACGGCTTGTTTGCTGGGGGCGACGAGGAGGAGGAAGAAAGCGGGGATGAGGCCATGGAGGACGTTACTGCGTCGGGAGCGGGTGAAGCGTCTACAAATGGTGTGAAACGGAAGCTGGTAGAAGAGGACGACTACGACTAGTCGTGCGGGTCATCCTTGGTAGTGGTTTTATTTGCTCGGACACACACTGCATGCGGATATATGACATGTTGTATAGTAGTGTATGATGCATGGTAGACAGTAATGGAGTATATCTAGATACAAAACGAAGAGAATATCCCGTCTGGACGTATAAGCATAGTGGACAAAACAAGCGTATAGCTGTGGGTTATCAAACGAAGCAATGAAAGGGACTGCTAGTCCCGGGCACGCAATGATTAGTATCGCATATATCACTGCAGGGGCGGGACCTCAGAGAGAACGTCAGTCAGAGCACGCGGCCATTGTTTCGCGAGGATAGCGAAGAGCAGGACGAGTAGAGCGACAATGAAGAGCAACCATGTGCCCCACGCTAACAACAGCTACGTCAGAGATAGTTGAAGTGTACGGAAGATGAGGCAGCGGACTTACAAGTAGCCCCAAGTCCTACAGGAATGGTCGCGACACGAATGGTGTTATCTGCGCTGCCCGAGACGAGGATGTCAGAGTGTGGGCTGAAGCGAAGTGTGGTTGGAGGGAACTCGTGCGCCTTCAGTATCGTCAACAGTGGCTACATAGCGGAATTAATCAGTTCTTGGCTGAAGTGAATAATTACTTCTAATGACATACGGCAAGAGACTGAGCATCGAGTACTCCGACAGTCAGGTCGGAGGATCCAAAAGCGAGTAGCTTCCCGTCAGGACTGCTCGGAAGTTAGCCGGCGAAGTGAATGTTCACCAACACAATGAATCGATCGCACCTGACATCGAAGCATGTTACGCCGCGATCGCTGATTTGACGGACCTTCGTGGCTGTCCAGGTGTCCGTGTTCCACTTGACGACGAAAGCGCGTCGTGGTGACGATTTACTTCGCGTCTTTGGCGGTACAGTATTTGACACTGTGTATAACGTTTTCTCGTCCGAGGGGTGAAATCTACGTGGTTATGAGGGCGCATCAGCACGTATGTGTCCAGGTCACGGGGGGATTGTCGCTCACCTAACCGCACGGAAGCTGCTTCCGGCGTCCTTCCCTGGTAGCGTAGGTCTATCTATGGTGTGTAGGAGCTCTGATGATATGGATCGGCTATCCTTCGACTTCTCCGCAGTGTCTCCTTCTGCTTCGGATGGAAGCGCGTAGACAAGGAGGTTTACGGTGGTTGCCACGACTAACTAGAGCGTACGTGAGTATGAGAAGCGACACAATCCACAGAGTACTTACTGTACTCGACGAGAATGCCGCATCGTACATTTCGCCTTTTTCCAGGTGGATTGGGGTGGCAACGGGGGTAAGCGAAGGGTAGTGTAGGACAGAGAGCTAAGCGGACGTTAGGAACAGGCGATCCGGTACACGCGAATAGGGACTGACGTCGCGCGTGCCACCGACAGCGAGATATTTGCCGTTGGGAGAGAAGACAGTAACTTTCTGGACGAATATGAGGTCAATGCTGGCATGAGCAAGATAGTGGACTCACCTGGAAGTCATCATCCTCACCGTTGAGCTGAATCGTACTACAGGCATCTGAAAACGATATCCTATCGTCTTGTTGAGTTATGCACGAGGAGCGGGGATAACGGGGTGACGCACTTGTTCTCCTTCACACTGTACACGCGACAGTTCCGGTTTGGACCGCTCTTCAGCGCGTCCTCGGAGCTGTTGATGCCTCCAACTATCTCGCTGCGCGATGGGTGAGCGGCCATACTCATGGGAGCATCCTCGCCGCTCGCCAGCTCCAGCTCGTTGAGCAGCTCCAGTCTGCTATCTCCCTCAATACGGTAGAGCCGCTAACATGCGCCGTGGTCAGGAGAGCCGTGTAGAGACGCAAGCAGTCATGACATACCAGCTTGTTCTTGATGCCTGTCTTTGACTGGCCACCTCCTCCCCCAAGGACGAACTCGTTCGGCGAGACAAACGCGGAGGAGTACACGGGAAAAGAGGGCAGCGGATGTGAAGTGTGCTTCGTCCTCATGGCTGTGGTCGCTTGTGGGGGCCTTCAGATGCGCGTATGCCGTCGCGTGGAGCCAGCAGGACCACCAAGAGGAAGTCAAGGGTAGAAAGGCCGAGCGAGATCTGGCGGGCGAGGGTAGGAGGTTGGCGAAAGCTGCCTGATGGCATCCACGGACGCGCGCGCCTGCTCTCGGCTGCGGCCCGGACTGCCGGGAGAGCCGCATCGGGATGGCAGAAAGTGTGGCTGCCGCCGCGCTCCTCGCAGTCGTCGCTCTTCCTCCTGGACACCACCAGCCCCACCTAACTTATGTTCGCCCTCACCTAGTTTGTGTCTCTCGCGCACGCTTGCTTTGCACCTTGTGTATACCCCATCCTATACTCCGGGTCAGGTTGCTACATAGCTATGCACGTTCCTCGCCATCTATTGCGCGGCCTTGATGACCTTCCAGGCGGCATCGATCTTCCACAAATATCTACCTCGACGGCCGCAGGAATTAGTGCCGCTGTAGCTGGAAACATTCTAATCTCCCTCGCCCTCAATTGCCAGAAGCTCGCACATAGACGTCTCGAGCGCGAGCGCGAACAGGCCGCAAACGCCCCGCAGCCATTGAAACCCACGCACTCCAATGGCCACCTCCCTTCCGCGTCTTCAGACGAAGTCACCCCGACTGCCTCACCGTTACCCACCGCCGCGGTGCTGGAGACCGAACCTTTGCTGCCGGAAGCTGACGGCTTGGTTGCGGAAAGTCCTAAGCCAGGCAGGAGCTGGTTCTTCTTGCGCAGGAAGGCGTTCCGAAATCAGGCTTACGATGCTGAATCCTCTCATCTTGCCGGTACGCACGCCCTCATGCCTGTCGAGGTCGTTCGGGTCACACCCGACGGCTCGGGACTGCATGAGGAGCAGAAACATGCCCGTCAAGATGCCGCTGAGAGCGACTATCTGCGCTCGAAGCTATGGTGTGCTCTATCCGTTCTCTGTCCTATGACGCGCGCATCTCAACGTTCGCAAGGTGGTTTGGATTCTTGCTCATGAACCTAGGGGAGACAGGTAACTTTATCTCCTACGCTTTCGCGCCCGCGTCTGTGGTGGCGCCATTGGGAACAGTACGTCCGAGATGCACATTCGTAGCCTGTCGAATGACGTCAATCAATTTACCAGTTTGCTCTTATCGCGAACTGTATTTTCGCGCCTCTCATGCTCAAGGAGCGATTCCGGAAGGTCAGCAAACATTTTCATCAGATATCGCGTCCCCGCCGACTGTCATTTTAGCGCGACTTCTTCGGCATCATCATTGCGATTCTGGGAGCGGTTACTGTTGTGCTTTCAACGGACCCGTCCGATACGCGACTCGGTCCAAAGGGACTTATAGCGGCCATCACGACGCGTCCCTTTGAAATCTATGCTGTCACATATGCTGTAGGCATCGTAATCTTGTCAGGCCTGTCAGAAGGGCCGGCAGGCAAACGCTACGTGTTTGTGGACGTAGGATTATGTGCTCTCTTCGGTATTTCCAACAGTTTCTTTGAACCTTACTGGATGAGGATATTGATATGTCATACAGGAGGGTTTACAGTCCTGTCTACGAAGGCCGTCTCTACGCTACTGACAATGGAGTGGTTTGCAATATTCAAGGAGTGGATCACCTATCCCGTGATTGCGGTGCGTGTCCAGCAATGTGCATCATGTTAACAGCTCATTTATCGTGGCAGGTGCTTCTCATTACCGGAGTGGGACAAATCCGCTACCTCAATCGCGCCCTCATGCGCTTCGACAGCAAGGTAGGTCACACATACCAACCTTTTTATGCCACCGTCAATCAGCATCCCTCAACGTCTGATTCCACAGGTCGTGGTACCTACTCAATTCGTGACCTTCAACCTCTCTGCCATCGTTGGCTCCGCGATTCTCTACGGCGACTTCAAGAAGGCGACATTCCACCAGCTCGTGACCTTCCTCTACGGCTGCGGAGCGACCTTCCTCGGCGTCTTCATCATCGCCTGGGCACCCGTGCGTCCCTCGTCCGATCCGGAAGAAGAAGAAGACGGAGCAGGGGCAGACGACGATGCCGACACCGATCCGACGTCCGCCGAGACCCTCACCATCTTTAGTCCCGTCTCTAGTACTAGCCCCTTGGGAGCGGACAACGCAAGCACCATTCCTGCCCCAGCCTACGGCAGCGTCCGTATAGCCAGAAGCAGCCTCTCGCGGCGATCCCGTCCTACACTCGCCGTGCCCGACAGCGGCGCGAGCGGGTCGGAGTCGGGCACGTCCCCCGTCCTCCGCAACCGGCACAGCATCGTGAGCCTCTACGGCTTCTCCCCAGCACAGGTGCGCATACGTCCTTTGCCTCCTGCCCAGCGTGTTCATCTGGCTAATCCATCCTCGGTCTCCCTTTCCTTTTTCCATTGGGCCCCTCGTCACCTTGTTTGGTTTGTCTTGGGGGCACACCCGCCGGTGGCCATATAGCGCGTGCTGCTGATCAGCTCCTCGCCCCCGGACGAGGTCTTCGTCCGCCCGAACCTCGACCCCGAGCGTGAACGCGACCCCAACGCGAGCCCCGAGTCGCTCGGCCGCCGGCGTGCGATCAGCTGGCTCGACGAGAGCTTCTCCGCGCGCTCCTCCTCTGCGCATTCGCAATCGCACTTACAGTCGAGTCCGAGGCGCGGCGCCCGGTACGGCGCTACTACTACTACTACTACGACGACGACGACGACGACGACGAGGGGGACGACGGCTAGCTCGTCCGTTGCGGCGTCGCGTGAGACGAGCCGGGTGCGCCCCGCGCAGGACAGGACACGATCGAAGACGAGTGACAGTGTAAGCAGCAGATCCCGGACAGATAGCGAGAGCAGGAGTAGGAGCTCGGGTTCGGCTGACCGCTTTCGTTAAAGTCTCCAACATGAAGCGTTGACCGGTGGATCCCTCAGTGGCGTTGCGGCGGCGGGAAAGCATCTGTTAGTGAGTGCTGTGTAGAGTGGAACATATAATCGATAGCTTCGCAATGGGACTAAGTATGAATAGAACAGGCTGGCCGACGTAGCAGGGATGTAGAATGTTAACGGCCTATGTACTGAAACCACTCCTATTGCCATTGGACATTTCAGACAACTGAGAGCATAAATCGAGCAATGTAAGTAGTGCTAAGGTGTGCTTATGCGCGTGAGACGAGCTATGACGTGAGTGCCCTGCGCACGGTGCACCATCAGCTTCGGTATCATCAGTAACCATCCATCTGACGGCGTGGTGGTTGGTATTCGTATGGTAATGGTATATCGGGGCCTGATACATCACAATCCGTCAGGCACGCTCTTCCAAACTGCGACCAGCTGCAGATCCTCCGCCTCGTAGCGGGTATGTACGAGTGTCGAGTCCGAGTCCATGTGTCGAAAGCGGATGCAGATGCAACGAGTAGTAAGATGTGCAGCGGAGTCCAGTCCAATCCGGTCGAGATGTATGCAAACACCAACGAGGGTGCAATACCGACAGTATGTAAGATATGTGCGACGCAATGTGAATCATCATAGTTACAAATAACCAAGCGACCAAAGCTAGATGAATGTGGGGGAGATACGACGGGAAGAGATGACAGCACAGAAGACAGCATCTGGGACGCTGGGGTATACCGATACCTATGCCGCACAGCCGGCAAGAGGCCAGACATCGAAGAAAGCTCGGCCGACCTCTCGCCATGCGGGCAGCACTAACACCCTCTCACGCTCAACCGTATTGACGCTTCCATGATCCCCAAAATCTCCGGCCCAAGAGGACCAGTCTAGCAAGACCACTGAATATAACACCCTGCTGCCCATCGAAGAAAGGAAAAGGTGGACGAGGAAAAACAGGTTGAACTCCTCCAAACCAACGTACACGACGTTCTGCGGACATCCATGACGTGATGATGAAGCATGGTGAGGGGCGAGGTCGGGGCCTATGCGGCGACCTCAGGGCGGACCTCCTCCTTGGGTGTATCGTTATCATTGCCCTCCTTGGGCGCGAGTTCCTCCACAACGATGAATGAACGCGAGCTAGTCGCGCCGGTGGGGGCCCACAATGCGCGAAGGTTCCAAAATCCGGCGGTCGAAGGCTCCTCGGTCGTATCTTGGGCATCCGCTCTTCCACCAACGCCGAAGACGTCCATGTTACCAGTGTGGGAGAGGGAAGAGACGTCGATATCGTTGTCAGGAATGATTCCGAACTGAAGATGAGGGTGGTTGGTCGCGATGCGATGAATCACGACGTGGGATGCCATGATGAACAGGAGGAGGAAAAGGAGGATGATCGTGCGGATGCGGCCCCTCAAAGAGAAAGAGTTGTTCCCATCGTTGAATGTGGTCTTGAACGGCGTCTGCGGGAGCTGTATCTGAGAGGGCAGATACGAGCGGAACGACGGTACCAGGGAGCTCAAGCGCTGTGAAAAAGTAGGGCTTGGCGGAGGTGCGATGAATGCGATGAAGAACTTGCTCTCGAAGACGGGGGAAGACGGGGTCACGATGATGGCAGGGAGTTCAGACTTTTCGTCAACCAAAGGCTTGCTGAGGTCTGTGGTTGCCAGGCACCGATTGGGTAAGCATGCGTCAGGCACAGACAGTTTGGCATATTGCACGTACCCAACGGGGCGGGGATGAGCGTGTAGTCGAGCCTCTGAGGGAGACGGTTGAGACGAGGGGCTACACCGTGAAATTCATCGTAGGCGGTGAGATAGCGACTGTGAGCTCTCGACTTCCTGCGGTGGGGCATAGAAGTGGACGGGAAGGAGACTCACGGGAGCGACGCATACTCGTAAATGGAGTATAAATAATACACGAGCTGAGAAGGCGAAGGTATGAACTCTATGGAGTGGCGCTTTTGCGGAAATTGCAGGGAGCTCTAAAGCCGGGGGGTCGAGCCTAGAGCCGGTTGCGAGAAAAGAGCGTGGGGATGAAAAGAGAGTGGGTTACTGAGACTAACAGCGAGGCGCGAGGGGGTCGGCGACGTCGTAGACAGTAAAGGCGACGACGGCGAGGACAGCAGAGACGAGGGACTGAGGAAAGAGGATGCAGAAGGCGAGACCGCCCATCGCTGGCCCTGTCCTCCCAGCGCCTGTCGCTGCGTTACGTAATCCACCATGCTCATTGTGACAACCGATCACTGCACAGAACTTTATTTGCGGCACGGTTAAGATCTCAGACGTCTCTGCCTGCGATCGCGATATTCCAATGTCTCTCCTCGACGCATCAACATACAGGTCATCGTCGACGCCTCTGAGTACTGCAAAGCTCCCAGCTGAGGCCTACGTGCTCTTGATTGCCTCGCTACCCTCTTCCTACGCTGCCGCTGCTTCTTCTCCTTCAAACGCCATCCACTTCTTCGACAAGGAACGCCTCCGAAACGTGCAGACGCTGCAGGGCCACGCATCCTCCATCACGACCCTCAGATCTGTGCCGAACGTTGCCAACGCTGTCACTCACGCCCTTGTCTCATCAGGCAAGGACGGCACAGTCCGTGTCTGGGACGAGCGCGCTGGCTCTGCCGCCCTCCGCTGTGAGCCTCCGACCCACTCCTCTGACCGAGATGTACCTACGACTCAATGGAGAATATGATGCCCTTTACTTCTGCCATCTGCTTCCGCGCTCAACAACAATGCGACAAATGCCTGATGGCCCCCGTGTTGGGCGTGTATAAATTATCATCACCGCCAGTGACTGCATCAACCGCCGGGGGTGTGCACGGACTGCTCTCCTGTGACGTCTCCGTTGACGGATTGACCATCGCCGCCGGCACCGATCTGCATGGCGAGGACGCATCCATCTTGTACTGGTAAGGCATGAATCCACAACGCGCAGTATCGCCGTACGTGCGCTCACGCGTGTAGATCGTTCACTCATTCGCGTTCCGCCTTTCCAGGGACCCGCGCAGTCCAGCTGCGCCCTTGCGGACACATTCGTCCACGCATGCAGATGACATCACCGCGGTGCACTTCTACCGGCCCTCGGCGTTTTCGACATCAGGCAATGGAAATGTATTATTGTCGGTGTCGTCGGACGGTCTCGTGTGCACATCAAATGCCATCGAGTCCGACGAGGACGAGGCTGGTCTGCATGTGGGAAACTGGGGCTGCAGCATTGCGCAAGCAGGCTGGCTGCACGACCGTGCAGGCAGACCCGGCATATGGGCGGCCAGCGATATGGAAACCTTCAGCGTCTGGACTGGCGAGGTTCGTCTGGAACCCTGCGGCCGACGCGGACTGCACTGACAGAAGACGCTCCTCATAATCAGCTCGATCGCCTCCAAGACGTCGACATCCGACAGCCCTCCGTGCACAGACAAGACCTCACCTGGGTGACCGACTACCTGATCGGCTGCCACGCCACCGCAAATCCCCTCGGGGAAGCGGACAACGATCTATGCGTGTTCGCCGGTTCAAACGAGTGCGTCCCTGTCCATCCTCTCACGCCCGAGGGCTGCGTACTAACTCCGTTGGACCTTGTATCAATCAATAGGGGTGACGTTGCGCTGATCACTCGACCGACTTTCGCGGATCCCAGTGCCCCCTGGGTCCTGCAGCGTACATGGATGACAGGTCATATTGGAGTGGTTCGGGCTGCGCTGTGGGATGAAAGAGTGAGACGCCTCTCCATTTGAACCGGGGACTGTATGAATCTGTGCTGACGAACTGGGCATCACTAGAACAACGTCCTTCTCACCGGCGGCGAGGACTCTAAGTTGCACGTTTGGAATGCCCCCGCAGCAACGCCTGAAATCATATCTCTGGGCAAATCAAAACGGATCAACGACGTCGATCCCATGGACGTCGACGAAGACGGCGATTCCAACCGCAAAAAGAGGCGGGCTTGACTGCCATGCCATCCTCAACCCTTTGTGCTCCTGTACGTCGTGTGTAGCTATAGTGCTAGAAGTGTGCGTTAGGATTGTTCTGTACCATCCCACAGCAATCGGAATATATACAATTGACAATTGTCCCACACCGCATGTTATTCATGCATATCCGGATCCTACCTGCCTCATTCCGTATTAACACCTCACATCCTGAAGACGCCATAGCCCTTGGCATCCCCGTCCCAAGCCGTATGCGACGTACGCCCCACCGAACCGCTTGGGCCTCCGCGCTCGCGTGCTGCGAGAGCCAGCGCCAGACCGACGGTGTCCCGGGTGTCGACTGGCCGGATGATACCGTCGTCCCAGAGGCGCGCAGAGGCGTACAGCGCGGTCGACTGGTGCTCGATCTCGTCCTTGAGCGAGGAATGTTTCGTCGGATCCTTCGACACCTGCGCCATAACCTGCGAGAGTTGGCCAGGACCCATGACAGACACCTTCGCATTCTGCCGAAGCAAGTCAGCGTCGGAAAGAGAGGCGGACGGACGGGTTTGAGACGTACCGGCCACATCCAGAGGAACCGTCCCCCGTACGCGCGCCCGCACATGCCGTAGTTTCCGGCACCGTAGCTCCCGCCGACCACCACGGTCAGCTTGGGCACGTCCGCACATGCGACGGCACGGACCATCTTCGCGCCGTCCTTCGCGATACCGCCCTTCTCCGCCTTTGAGCCGACCATGTACCCGGTGACGTTCACGAGGAACAAGAGGGGGATCTGGCGTTGCGAACACAGCTCAATGAAGTGCGTCGCTTTCAGCGCGGACTGGGAGAAGAGAATGCCATTATTGCCGACTATGCCTACGGGGTAGCCGTGGATGTGTGCGAAACCCTGAGATTATCCGAATGTGAGTCGCATGAGGCCCAGACATCAATCAGAAACCAGATATACCGTGACCATGGTTGTGCCGTATTCTTTCTTGAACTCTCGGAAACGGCTGCCATCGACCAGTCTTGCAATCACGTCCCGCATATCGAACGCTTGGCGGACGTCTGTCCCAACGATTCCATGCAGTTCGTGCGCTGGGTATAATGGGTTTTCGGGCGTTGCAGGTGGCTTGAAGCGAGTTAGTCTGCAGCTTCGCCGCTTGGGTATATAGAGAAACCTCACAGGAACTGGTTTCGACCCTGCCTTACCAAGGTCGCTCACAATACCACGCGCGATAGCGATAGCATGTTCATCGTCTCGCGCAAGGTGGTCCGTCACGCCGCTTTCCGACGAGTGCATCAAGCCACCGCCAAGCGTCTCCTCGTCCACCTCCTCGCCTGTAGCTGCCTTCACAAGCGGCGGGCCCGCAAGGAAGATGCGGCCCTGCTCCCGCACGATAATGTTCTCGTCTGCCATAGCGGGGACGTACGCACCACCCGCGACGGAGATGCCGTGCACGATCGCTATCTGGGGGAGGCCGAGCGCTGACATCTGCGCCATGTTGTAGAATATGCGGCCGAAGTGCTCTTTGTCTGGGAATACCTACAGGGCGCTGTCAGTGAACGTAGCGGTACTATAGCTGGGGCATCCTCACATTGGCTTGGTGCGGGAGAGCGGCACCTCCGGACTCAACTGTTGCACATCGTGAGGGGAGGCATCGGGCGTGAACGTGAATCTATTACGGCATACCGACATAGATTGTGGGCAACCCGTGCTCTTTAGCGATCTCCTGGGCACGCAGCTGCTTCTTTACCTGGGGACAGAAGACAGTTCACGCCGCTCGCCGAGGAGGATTGCTGTATCACTGACCGTGAGCGGGTAGTAGGAACCACCTTTGACGGTAGCATCGTTTACCACTATCATGCACTCTCGTCCGCTTACCCTGCCAATGCCGGTGATGAGACCGGCAGCGGGGAGGGATTCGCCGTAGACGTCATGGGCCGCGAGCTGCGACAGCTCAAGAAACGGTGTATGTGGGTCAAGCAGCAACGCCAGCCTGCATGATTGCATGAAGGGACGAATGTTCGTGCTACAGGAAAGACAAACGAACGTACCTTTCCCGAGGCAGCTTCTTCCCCTTGCTCCTCATCCGCTCCGCCGCCTTCGGACCACCGCCTTGCCTCACAGCAGCGAACTTCTCCTCTAGGTCCCTCACAAGCGCGTCCAAAGCTTCCGACTTTGCCTTGAACTCCGGTGACGATGTCGAGAGGAGTGAGGGTAGGACGTTCGGGTGATATGCTCTCCTCCTGCTCGCTACCAGCGTCCTCTGGGCGACCTGTAGAGACCGCGTGGCGAGCCGCATGATGTTGTTGAGCAGCTAGCTACAGAGGGAAATTGGAGTGAGTGGGTCAGAAGATGGTATGAGCAGGACAGATGGCGGACGCGGGGTACGCGAGGAAATGCGACGCTGGTTTATACACCAGTTGCAGGAACAGCGGGACCCTCAGCCCGCCCCACACGATCGGCTGAGCGCGTCCGGATCAAGATCCCAGTACCGGATGACTTTCCACTAGCCTCTCATTACGGGTTCTACGGACGTCAACAACGAGGAAGGCGGTGTCGGACCCCGCGTTCAGACTGAAACAGACCGCAGAGCTCGGCAACCGGTTTTTTCAAGGAATGTCCTATCATGACAAAGCAATACTCAAAGTAGACATCAACCACTTTGGTCACCCTCGGACTCAGCCGCTCGTTGAGCGACCAAGATCCCCACAGGCTGTCTCAAGCCCCCCGCTGATGAGTTTAGGGCGACTCTAGAGTCTTTTTCGACGTCTCAAAGACCCAGGCCGGCTGCAGCCGATCTACAAACGGGGGCCCACTCAAGGCCTAGCGTTCAGTTTCCCGGAGCATGCGGGCAGCACGTTGCGACCAGGTCAAAGCTTGGCACCCGTGTTAATATATCGTGATATACACGATACTGTTAGATTCGTCATAGTTTCTGCCTCTCGATCATTCTCATGAAAAGTTCCATCTGTCTTAGAGGATGTACTGCCAAATCTTTGAGAGGCGGGAAGCCAACTCGTGAGCTATGGCCAGCGCCAATTGTTTGGCCCCCAAAAGCGCTCGTTGGCACACCCGTCGAACAGAGCTAGTTCGTAGAACGGCTGCGACCGACCAAGGCCTTATGGAGAATCGTCCTCTGTTCAGCACACAGCACATAGATAAAGAAGGTTGTTACTGTTTTGCACAGTACGCCATGACCATTTGTCATTCATGATCACGTATTAAAAACGGGGAAATCCATGCAACATAAGAATACAATAAACGACGAAACGCAAGACGAGCTACGGGTGGCCATACGAACGGAGTAGGGGAGTATGACATCAGATTATCGGGCATAGAATCCATACGAGCGACGGCGAGAGTGTCGGCATCAGTAACCCGCTGCACCCGATCCTCCAACAAGTTGCCTCGACTGTAGCGACGGCGACGGGTTGGGGATCGCGGGCTGCGGGGTCCGTGTTGGCGACGAGTGCGCGTTCACCTGCGCCGCGGTAAGATTTGGGCTAAGCACATGTGGGGAAGGGGTGTGGGGTGTGAGCCGTGCGATGTGAGGCCCCGCGGGAGTCGCCGTGCCCTGAGTGGCGTTGTGCACCTGCGGGCTCGGCATCGGTCGCCCTTGTGACAACTGAGGCGTTCGCATGCCGTTCGCGGACGGCGCACGTCCTGGGGAGCCAGCAGCACCTTGCGATGCGACAACGTCGATACCGACGTTCGCGTTGGGCGGGGAGTGCTGGCCAGCCATAGGCCACTGCATAGGACGACCTGCTGCCATCGGCATCTGGTACGCGCCGTTGGGCAAGACATACGCGCCAGGTTGTCGGAGCGCAATGTTGACATTGTCTGCTGGGAGCATCGCTTGCAGCGATTGGATCTGCTGTATGCTCAAACCATTGGGCCGCGTACCCGGGTGCACGAAGCCAGCTTTAGGCACGGTGGTGTACCCATTCATTGCAGGGATGTGGTAGCCATTGGGCAGGTTGGGCAGATTTACGCTCCCTGTCGAGGCGAGTGGTTTGGAAGGAGCAGGCGTAGGAGATGGCATGGGCGCAGCCACACCGTCTAGTTGTGAAGGCGCACCGCTGGGACTACCATGTGCCATCTTCACGTCCTGGTCAGGCTTCGGCGGTGAACGCTGGCCGTCAGCAGGGTTGCCTGTAGCGCCGCTTGGAAGGGGTGTCGCATGGGGAGAGGGAGGATGTGAGGCGGGATTGGGTGTACTGCCAGACGCCATGCGCATGCCACCGTTGGAAGAGATGCGCATTTGCGCAAGTTTCACCTGGGTCGGGACGGAGAGCGGGGTTCCGTTCACCTGACCCAATAGGGAATGAGATGAACTTGCTGCGCTAGCAGCGGGGACTGAAGACACAACCTGCTGATGATAAGGATGCGGGGGAGGCTTGAGCATAGCGTTTGGTACCGGCCCGAGCTGAAATGGCTTCACATCGCCCGAAGACAGTCGTAATGTAGGGTCAATGGTGATCTTCGTCATGTAATCCTCCGGGTGGGACATAGTGAACGTCAGTCGGCTAAGTGATGTTGAGTGCCGAGATATCGCACGAAATGCACCGCAGACTCACATTGGTTGAGTTTCGTCAATCAGCTTCCGATCCTGCTCCTCCATCCCGCGGGGGCCCACCGGAGGGGTGTCGTCGGCGTCATACCTCCATCGCTCCTCGATCCTCTGTCTGCGCTCCCTCTCTTCGACGTCAGTCTTGTCAAAGTTCGCGGCTCGTAGCGTGCAATTAACGGAACGACGATCGAGCAGCATGCGTCCGCCGCGACCCCTCCGTATCCGAGCGACGTGATACTTGACAGGGTTCTCATCATCCTCGTTGAACAGCTGGTGGCGGGGAATCGGTTTAGCCTCCTTAGGGAGAAACTTGAACTGGCGAGCGTCGTAGCTGACAGGGAGCGATTGATACGGGTTCTATGGGGCAGATTCAGCATCTGTCACTGCACATGGCATTCTCGACTTACCTCCACTGCATCTTCCCATGATTTGTCCTTCTCTTTCTGACGCTGCATCTCCGCCTCGATGGCGCTCCTAATAGCAGCACATCGCTCCTTGGGGCGTATCACAGGCGTGGGCTGAGCGACAGGAGAGCCCACCTCGCCATTCTCGCGTGGAGGATGACGAAGTTTCAGTGATGGACGACTGCGACTACAAGTCAGCCTAGAGTATTGGTGGAGCATTCGCCATGAACATACGTTGTCTCGACCTTGGGCTTCTTCGGAGGCTTCTCCTTGTCGAGAAAGAGCTCGTCGTCCTCCTTGCTCCCGAGTGACGGATGCGCGCGTTTGAGGTCCGCCAAAGTCTGCCGTTTATCCCACAGATTGCGGCCATGTATGTGCGAGTCCCTTTTGAGGATCTCGCGCTGCTGTACAAGCCGGACAATGTCGAGGGCCATCGCGAGCTCGTTCTGCAACCGAACCATACGATCCGAATACGAGGCTTGCGATGCACGGGTTTTACGGATAGCCTTAATTTCACGACGCCTGAAGCAAATGTATGACTCGTTCTTGGTGTCGCTTTCATCGAGCTGCGGGAAACTCAAGTCAATGCCAGGAATAAGAAGTCCATATGTACCACATACGTTGACAGCAGGGATGATGCGGTGACCGCCGCGTTCTTGTCGCCGCTCGCGCCAGTAAGGATAGATGATTCGCGCAAAGTGCAACATTGATTGAGGTGGGGGAACCCATTCGGGGACGGAGTATATGGCAAACATGTCGGATCGAAGGGGAAAAGCGAAGGTGTCTTGATAGTCGGAGAAGGGAGGAAATGGAACGCCCTGCTCAAAAGCCTGCCGCGGAGTTGGGCGCGTACCAAGCTCAAGAACAGGGAGCGAACTTACATGATGAAGGAACTCCGTCTTCTCGTGCGTGACCTTCTCAAAGATCGCCATGACGAGCTCGAATTCGTCTTCGGTTATGGTAACGGCTTGGACGATGTCGGGCTCCTTTCCCTTCGCCTTGGCGCTGCGACCAGAACGGGTGCTGGAACTCGACACAGACCCTTGCGAGCTCATGCCCTCCCCGCGAGCTTGCTCGTTGTTCTTGTCGAGCCACTCTTTGTCCCGCTCATCCATATAGTAGATGAAACCATTCGCTAGTGCGAACGACGTCGCTTCCTCGACGGTGTCAGAGGACCGAACGTGCGAGTGAGTGTCCTTCCAACGACCGGGGGGATACAGCTCGTCATAATTCTGCACTACGCCGGTGCTATCTGGAGTCGGGATGTATGCGGCGGGGGCGCTCTCCTTGTCCTTCGCGTCGCCGGATCGTGTGCTGCGCGTTGTGGCCTGATGCCGAGACGCCGCGGCAGTGAGCACGGCTTGCAAATGGTGTTCCTAGATAGGAAGGGCGATAACGCTGAGTCAGCATTCCGCGGAACGAAACTCCCACGGCTCCAGCCAATGAGAACGCGCCACACCGGGGCCTCCAACATCGTCGCCCACAGCGAGCAAGAGCAGCGGAAAGACATACGTTCGCATCCTCAGCGTCCACACCAGCCGTAGAGACGACTCTGGCCTTCTCCTCATCTTCATCGAGGACAATCGAGTCGGCTTCGATCGTGTCTCCCCGGATAACCTTGAGGCGCGTCTTGTTGGTGACCCTGTTGCGGTTCCGGAGGGCAGCAGGACCGGGGTGTGTGGCTCGAGGCATGTCATGGAGCGACGGAGGACAAGAGTTGAGATGATGTTGGCTGCAGGGGATGGTTGGGGCGGGGACGGCGCCTGTGCGCAGAGGCCGGTCGAATATCGTGTGCGGGCCGAGACACTGGGAGGCGGAGGAGGTAGCCACATTCTTGCTTATATAATGCACATGCCTGAATAGGCAATTTGCTTTGACGCTGCCTTCCGCGCAAAGTGGCCCAAACGGAATGTTGAAAGAGAAATAGGATGGACATAGGGAGGTTCAGTGTATGCATGAACTACATCGAGTATAAACCTAGAGGATTCAAAGGCGCGTTAGTGATGGGCTAAACCGGGCTGGGAAGGAAGGAACTGTAGAGGCACTCACGCAATCCATTTACTAGTCCACAGCGGAAACAAGATATATCCTTCCTCCAGCACAAGGAACTATCGTCAACCGATCTCTGGCCATAGAGAACGTGCGCCTTTGGCGACGGAACAGCCTGCCCCCCACTCTGTCTCCGCAACGACGGGTCAAGCGGCGTTGCGGCGTTGTGAACAACTTCATACTGCATCACAATGTCCAGCCTACATACAACCATTGAGTGAGCTGGGATAGACGTGAGCATGATGAAGAGCGATGTCACTTACACTCACCTGTCCTATCGAGGATCGGACGCCGCCTAGTATATATACGCAACCAACAACTCCTACGACCGATCTGAAAAGAATGAGAAGGATAAACCTCACCTCTAAGAGAGGTTGGTGCAGATGACCGTTGCCGCATTGAATGCGCACGCATACAGGTAGCGACAGGCTAAATGGGAGCTAGGGGGTAGGGAGGGAGGGGCACGCAACTGAGAGGCTCACTTGTTTCAGAACGTCGTCTATGCACCGACGAATATCACACAGAACGTCGGGAAACATGACGACGACTGAGCCAAGTGCACGAGGAGATGCGTGGCGACATGGCGGCACCCAACGATGAGGACGGGAAGGAGGGAGGCAAGACGGAGTTGTCTCGCACGCCAGGCCGTGCTTCACAGCGGGCACGTGCGGCACGTGGGTAGCCACACAACTAGACGCCCTCAACTATACAGTCCCTTCGTCGGAGCTCGCGCCGTATTTTGTCTTCTGAGCACCATGTGCCATCGTTGCCTCATACCCTCAGCTTGCCTTGTCAGAGAAAAATATAAATGCGCAGAAAGATCATGTGGACCGATAGATGGACGATCTCAAGGCTCTACGAAACGGGGGGCCCAGAACGACAAGCGATGGTTTCCGATGCTCACCGAGTTGTAGCACCTCTCATATGTTCTAGGCGCATCAGTCTACAATACCCCATAATACCACGATGAATAGCCAAGGGGACGCAAGACGGAGGGCGCAGGGCACCGAGGTCAGCTCGGCGTTTCTGGTTAACCCTTTGCCGCTTTAGGAAGTCGATCAGTCCGGGTCTCCGGCGCTGAGCGCCTAGTATTGCCTCTGGTTTGTCTCCAACGACCACTCGTCTCGCTTGCATTATGGCTTCACTCGCCGATGAACTTCTGGCTGACCTGGATGGACTCTCCGGAGAGGAAAATGAGTATGACAACAACGAAGAGCAGCAGCCTGAGGCCGGGGCATCCACTTCAGCGGGAGTCAAGCGCAAGGCACCGGTGGACGAGGACGAGGAAATGTCGGACGTAGAGGGCGGAGAGACACGGGAGGATGATGAGGAAGACAAGGCGGTGGGGAGCTTGGTGCTGGAAGGGGGTGTCAAGCCTGCAGAGGAATTGGATGCGGAGGAGGTACAGCGTATGGAGCTTGGCGCGATCGACGATGTGCGGAAGGTAGCGAAGCTGGAAGGTAGCAAGCGAATGAATGATACCTTGAGGGTAAGCTGATATCAAAATTCTCAATTTCACACTATCTCAACTCTTCTTCAGGAGATTGAGAAGTACCAAGCCAATCCGAGCACCTCAGAGCAGATGGCGCTACCCACCCACTCGAATCCCGAGTATAACCTCATCGTTCAAGCCAACAACCTCTCTGTGGACGTTGACAACGAGATCCTCGTCGTCCACAAGGTATGATTCCTCCTTCGAGGGTGGTGAAGATAGGCTGACCTGCTGCACGCTTTGTACTAGTTCATCCGAGACCACTACGCGCCCAAGTTCCCCGAATTGGAGCAACTAGTGACCGACCCGCCGATGTACATCCGCACAGTCCGAGCTCTTGGCAACTCAGAAGACCCTACGAAGGTGAACCTTCAAGGAATTCTCCCGCCCGCTATCATCATGAGTGTCCTTGTAACTGCAACTACGACCACCGGCCAACCTCTGACGGAGGCGAACTGGGCGGCCGTCCAAAGAGCCTGCGACCTTGCTGACCGCCTGGAGGAGGCGCGCAAGAAGGTATTTCTTGTTTTCCATGCGCATATTTCCTTGTATACTAACCCCAGAGGCGTAGATCTTCCAGTACGTTAGCTCACGAATGAATATCCTTGCACCCAACCTATCTGCCATCGTCGGTACCACCACAGCTGCGAAACTGCTCGGTGTTGCGGGTGGTTTGTCTGGCATTGCCAAGATGCCGGCGTGTAACGTCTATGTATGTATTTTGCCAATCACTACATCTCCAGGTTACGCACTGACGGCCGTTTACATCCAGCTTCTCGGCGCGCAAAAGAAGATCGCTGCTGGTTTCTCGACGATAATGCAGCGGAAACACACCGGCTTCGTGTTCCAGTCCGAGCTTGTACAAGGAACGCCACCAGAGTATCGCATGAAAGTGCAACGGACGGTAGGTGCGAAGTGCACGCTGGCCGCCCGCATGGATTTAGAGAGATCTCGTAGAGATGGTACGTCAAGACAGCCCCTTGCGTCGCGTCTTCATCACTCAGTAGTCCTCGTAGGTTCATACGGTCAACAGCTCCGAGACAAAATTGAGAAGCACATCGACCGCCTGGCAGCGCCGCCACCCAGCAAGATCGTGAAAGCGTTGCCCATCCCGAACGACGGCCCTAAGAAGCGTCGTGGAGGCAAACGGTAGGCCCCTCCTTCCTCACCGACTTTGTCGTGTCTAGCTGACCGGCCTGCCACAGCGCGAGAAAGGCGAAGGAGGCGTATGCACAGACGGAACTCCAGAAGCTGCAGAACCGCATGGCATTCGGCACGCCCGAGGAGGAGGTGGGCGCATTCGACCAGACCAAGGGCCTCGGCATGATTGGTACCGGCAAGGTGCGGGCAGGCGTAGGCGAGGCGAAGAGCCGCGGTGCGTACCCCTATCCCCAGGCGTACTCCCACATCCTTGGTCGGGGAGCGAGGAGCTTCTCGTCTTCCTCGACGATCTTCGCTAGCGCTCTGCTGTTCATTTTCTGTTCGATTGCCATCATCTGACATGACGTACTGACGCTCGTTCCCCTACAGCCAAGCTCTCGAAGGCGAACAAGCTCCGCGTGGCGGCCCTTACGAAAGCCGCTCAGAGCGGCACAGCAACTGCGACGTCCGGAACCGCGACGTCGCTCACTGTCACTCCTGTGCAAGGTACGCACGGCGTGCATGTGGGTCTCTCTTTGTTGCGTGCGTGCTCACTGCACGTGCCGCAGGTTTCGAGCTTACGAATCGTGCTGCCGCCGCGGCGCGCGTCAAGGAAGCGAACGAGCGTTGGTTCTCGAATGGCACGTTTTCGTTCGTCGGGCAGAAGGGGACGACGACTCGGAAGTAGTCGGTCGACGAGCAAGTCATGGTTAGCTCTCTGCTCCATCATTACTTTCTTATATGGCTGTATAATGCGCGGATGCTACGATATGACATGCGAGGGATAGTAATACACTGAGGTGCGAACACGAAGAGGCTGAACAAAGACTACTACACTAAGACGACGACGTTACTCGATGCATTTACGAGGACGAAGGCGGGTGTGCTGTGGCCACGGTATGACCAGTCGCGGCACTTTGAGAGACATCAATGAAGCCGGGCTTCTTTGGGTCGCCCAACTTGCTTCGCTTGGTCCTGTAGTCGCGGATAGCAGAGCGGATGGCGTCCTCAGCAAGCACTACAGCACAACTGAGTCAGTAACAGCGAAGCCTGGTGAGCAAGTGATAGACGCACTCGAGCAGTGGAGCTTGACCGGGGGGAGGCACAACTCCTTCGCGATCTCCGTGTTTTTGATCTTCTCGGCCTCCTCGAGCGACAGCCCCTTGACCCGCTCGGTCATATACGAGCTCGACGCGATGGCGCTCCCGCATCCAAACGTCTTGAACTTGACGTCGGAGATGATCCCGTTCTCATCCACACGAATCTGCAGCTTCATGACATCGCCGCACCTAAGGCCGACACAGGGGTGTCAGCTCCAGAGTCGACAACACAAGGACAATGGCGAGATGGACGTACGCAGGAGCACCGACCAGGCCAGTGCCAACGTCAACGTCGTTCTTGGGGAGGGAACCGACCTGAAGGGGAGGGGGAGTCAGTTATCTGATAACCGATGGGTTTGAAGTCCAGGCGGGGCGAGACATGCATTTCTGGGCTTCTCGTAGTGAGAGATCACTTTCTCGTGGTAGCCGCGAGCAAGGGCGGGCCTAACAGCGAGCCTGCTCGCGCGGGGGGTGACATTTACGAGAGATTTTGTAATCGACGAGCGCAACATGGCTGGTAGTGATGACGGTGAGAGGGAAAGGTGAGCTGACGATGCCGCTTTCTTCCACGGCCGACGCAATCGCTGGGCCGTGGAGTCAGCGGCACCTGCTCCTCCAATCCAGCCACGTGCAGAGACAAACCACGTGCAGGAACATTCGAGTGTGGGTTATGTAAGCAGTATTTCCGGAAAAGGGAGGGTGGGATGAAATGTGATTCTTGGCGTCAGAGGGAGCCAGTGTCGCAACTGCCAGTAAACGCGTCGCACATGCGTCCTGTTCTTCCTCTTGCCTCTCCGCTCCTCCTTTGACTTTTCCCCCGCTTTCGTGGAAATCTTGCCGCCACCTCTCGAATGTCCACACCCTCATCTTCTTCCCGTCCGCCAACTCCTCCGCCTATGCGAAGGAGGGACAGCGGAACGGGCGTTTTCTCGACTCCTTTTGAACGATTCGTCAAGGACGACATAGCGGACTGGGCCAGCGGTTTCACTCTGCTAGGTGTGTCTTGATATCTCTATTATGCTCGGCCGCGTTTTGACGCGTCGCTGCAAGACACCATGGAGACCTACTTCGACTCCCATCTGGACCTCCTCCAGCGTCACCTCGCTAAGACCAGCGATCGTCTCAAGATGCGCGCAGAAGAGACGCTTCAGGACCTCAAGAAGGACGTCCTCAAGGAGGGCGTGCTCAAAATCATGCCCACTTCCAACATGCAGCTTGAGCGCGAGCTGCAGCGGTACAAGCTGAAGGTACGAACGTGCGCCGCTAATAGCTCTACCAATCTCCATTTTTGACACCTGCCCTTCGGCTTTTGTTCAGGTCTCCCAGCGTCTGCTCGCGATCACCCAGACATGGCACTCCGCGAAGGTCATCAGGACTCGGGAGAAAGTCACGTTCTTCTTCGGAGTCATGACCTTGCTCCTCACTGCCCTGCTTTTCGGATTGGCACCAGAGTATGCTTTCTTCTCTGTCTCATTCTTTACCTCTGGCCTGTTGACTTGGAATGCGATACCAGATGGCTTCATGTCGCATACTCAGTTCAGGCGGCCTACTATCTTCCGCTTCGGGTGTACATGTACAAGAAGCGCGCATGGCACTACTTCCTCTTCGACCTCTGCTACTACATCAACGTCCTCAATCTCGTGTTTATTTGGGGCATGCCGGATAGTCCAGCGTTGTTTGTCGCTTGCTACTGCCTCTCTCTGGGCTCTCTAGCGAGTGCGGTCATCACTTGGAGAAACAGTCTGGTTTTCCACGATTGGGATAAAGTGACTTCGCTGTTCATTCACATCTACCCACCACTGGTCTTCTCTGTGATCCGGTACGTCTTGACTCCACAAATCTCTTCTTTATCACTCACTCCGAGCAGACACCATTATTCGGGTGCGAAACTGCGGTTCCCTGCGCTACGAGATGTTCCACACCTGCAACCTTTCCGTGCCTTGCTGTTGAGCAGTATCCTCTGTAAGCCAGACCTTTGACTATATGGTTAGTGGCAGGCGCTAATTACCCGACCAGACCTCATCTGGCAACTACTCTACTGGAAGGTGAACCCGGTCTGTGGCGCCAAGCTCTCACGAACACCACTAACTGCCTATTGCAGTTCGTTCTTATCGACCGTCGTGCGAAGGTCCAATCTGGACAGCGAATCACGTCTTTCACGTGGCTCCTCAATGACAAGCGCGGTGCGATTGGGCGCGCTCTCTCCAAGATCCCACCTGAATATAGAGAGGTCTCCTTCATGGCGGGCCAACTCGGTACGCTGTGTCTTGCAACCTTCTATGCGCGAACAATTTCAATGAACTGTGGTATGCGCAGTGTACTCTATCATCACCGCGCTGCCTGCGGTCTTTGTCCTGTACGACAGCGCATTCTGGAGCTCGGCTTACATCCTGTTCCTCTTTGCCGTCTCTGTCTGGAATGGCGGAGGCTTCTACATCGAGGTCTTCGGTCGCAAGTGAGTCACCTTCGTACATCCGGCTCGCTGTGGTACTCATGTCGTCCGCCCTCTATAGGTTTGAGCGGGAGCTGGAAAAGCTGCGCAAGGAACTTGCGGAAATCAACGCGCGCTCAGAGCGCTCGAGTCCGACGCTCGGTCCCCAGAGCGACGACGATTTGGCTACCCTCGCCGGATCTCCGAAGGCGCTCTCTCCGCTCGTCACGGCCCAGGAGGTCTCAGACGCGAACATCCCCCTTCATGCTCTCAACGGCAACGCTACATCCGCCGCGCCTCCTGCGACCTCGGGTTGACGCCCGTAGCTGGCGATTCTCCTGGTCATGCTTATGTCTGCTACTTAGAATCTCATGCTGTATCACGACTTGTAATGATTGTATTCTGACACGTTCTCTCTTTCCCACTGCGATGTGCCCGCCCGAGAGCTTTGCAGATGAGACACGATCCATCTCAGCGACTCGTGCTACTGTCGATCTGCTTCCGACAATACTCTAGTGACCCAGCATAATCTTACATGCCATATCCCTCATGCTGTATTAGAGATGGCTGCATGTATCGTCCCTATCGCGGCGACCGCTATCCACTGAATCTATCTCGTTGGCTTGCCACCTCCTATGGCCTACGTGCTCTTACGCGTAGAATGTAAAAGATACAAGGGCGTTGTATAACCTACAGCCTTGCAGGTTCGTGCTTGACCCTTATTGGCGTGCTGTTGCGAAATGCTTGTCATAACTGGAATCCAAGCCAAGCCGGTCTTGCAGGTTCCCCCTCCTGTTGTCCCTAGCATACCCCATGCGCTATAGCAACTTTGATCTTGTCCGGTAGGAGGGCGTCTTGGGCACCTCGTACTGTATCTCGTCGATGTAAATCGAGGGACTGGGGAAATTCACGTTGGCAACGATCCGTCGACATTGAACTGTTCCCATTCCCGTCCGCTGATCACCCAGCCCTCGAAAGGTCCTCCCGGTCCTTTGAGAGCAGCCTTGGCCATGCGATATTCCGCGTCACTTTGCTTGCTCTGGTAGTACGTACGCTCTCTGTAATGCAAACATGAGCGCTGAAAAACGAAGGTTGTATGGACGTACACACCCGTCTGTGAACAGCCCCGTCTTCGCCGCTACCTCATGGAAGAGCGCATACAATGCAAGCTTCGACAGCATTGGCCTGACATGCTCCATCCAGGGATTGAAAAGAGTCGATGAGGACGGCAGACACACCTGAACTTTGGGTTGTGGCGATGTTTCGGCGGCACACCACGACGAAGGCCATTGATGAGAACCTCGCTGTCCTTCGCCGAGTCTGCGACGTAGCAAAGGGCTAATGCAGACTGGTCAACGATGGTATCATGCAGTCCCACAGAAAGCAGCTGACAGTCGTTACACCCACTAGTAGCTGTCGGTCCGAGGACGGAGCGCGAGTGAACGTATGGGACCGCCGTGAACTTAATGGAAGGCTCGTTGAGTCTGTAAGTCGTCGGTGGCCCTGGACACGTACCCTTCGTCAATACAGAGGTACAAGGTCAGAGGTCGGTCCCGTGTGCGCACGGACCCTTGATCGAGCGAAGCCTGCCGTACAGCGCTCTCTGACAATCCTCGAGCACAACATCGCGCATGGATGGCTCGACCTCTCCGATGACGAGTCGATCTATGTAGATAGGCCGCAGCAGGCGAGATGCCAGAGCACCTTGGATCCCGAGCACGTTCCATGCGGCAATCTTGTCGCTGCAAGACATGGACAGCGTCGGCGGCGAGTCCGCGCGCCCAGGCTTCGTGCGCATCACGCCATACAGCGAGTAGTTGTCGCGCCCTCTGGAAGTGCTTCCTGGAGACAGCTTCGGGTACTGCGTGGAGTCCTTGAGCGCAGCCATCTCGGCATTCTGGAAAGACGCCAGGTACCTGGTAGAGGCATCCCCGCCTGCAAATATCATCAGTCTTCGGTCCTACGGCAGATAACGATTTGCTGACATGGTACCGTAGATATGTACATGTTGAGCTTAACCTTGTCTCTTAGAGCGAACTTGCCGTCTGCGCCTTTCAAGATCCATTGGGATGCAGTTTCCGGCGTAGCGCAGCACCGGCCTATCTCCTCTAGGAACCACCGGATGGCGCCTCTCCGGGCGAGGACTTCGGCATGACTATCGTGCAGGGAGTCCCCAATTTTCGGCAGACGAGCAGTAGGTAGACATTTGGACCCGGTACCAAGAGAAATGATTTTGGATGCCTCATCGTCGGTGAGAACGAAGCCAGCTAAGACTGTAAATTGGCCATCGGGAGGCTTGAACTTGGAACCAGCGTAAGTCGAAAGCACCAGAGATGCGACGTCATCCGCAGAGACGACCACCATGCATGGCAAGGCGCGAAGGAAAGGGCTTGGCGTTCCGAAGCAAAAGCAGTTACGAGGGGGTGAGGTGAGTGTAGTCTCGTTCCCACACGTTCCGACGCCTCCCTCTGGCGCTTCTTCCCCCCTTCAAGCTCTCTTCGCGATCCTTTCCATCAGTTCTGAAGGTTTCGCTCCCCTCCTTCATGAAGCTGCCGGAGCCTAACCAAGCATGACTTTGAGAACGGTAGGCAGCTGTGACGGCGTTGCCCAGGCTCCTACCCACCACTGTCTCGAGTTGAGGGGGCGATATCCTAGAGGCGGGGGACAAGCTGATATCCGATAGAGTACAGAATCCTGTAATATAAGCGCCAGATCACGTGTACATTGTATCCCCCTCAACTCTCCACAGCGGCTGGCATCAAACACAGGTAAATAAACGGAGCCCGGAGAGAAAGCGCTCGAGACCATCCCCGTTTGGTAGGCACTCCCCCGAGGGCATCATACTTTCTCATAAATTCCTCTCTCCCAGAACACCTCTTGTCCTCGGGCCTATCCGCCCTCCCAATAATGTCATCACAGATTCCTGACGTCTCGGAGATCAGGGCGTGTGCTTTGGAGAAGCTCGGTCGCAGACCATGTCTCTGGCAATGTGATATATTCAGAGCTCTGCTCAAGCGCAGTACTAGAGATATTGTGTGCCACCCATTATGTTTTGCCTTGGCCACGGCTTGTACGGCTTGAGAGTGACAGGCACACATAATGTTGTGTGCCCAGTTGCAGATCAAATCAGAGGTTGCTGAGTGGTAGTATCATAATGCAGCCACAATGCTGGCGGCATTTTGGAGGAGGTCATGAAGGACGGGGTAGGCAGGATCATGGCATTGATTTAGAACAAAAAGTACAAGGTCAGCTAATGAGAGACAAGAAGCAAAGATTTGCATCAGACTTGTGGCTGTTGTGCGTGGACGGGATCCATGGCGAGAGAGGAGCCGACAGTACTGTTGTAAGATTCAGAGTACCGTGCAGGAGTACAGCGAGATTAACTGAAAATAGCTCGTGCCCACGGGGGAGTGCCTACCAAACGGGGGATGGTCTCGAGCGCTTTCTCTCC